ATTTTATTTATTCGCATATCATGTAATAATTTGAAATCATAAAACAACTTTAAAAAAATATGTTTGATAACGTTATTATTGTTTAAGTCTTTTTCAATATATGACCGCATCAAGCGATCGCTACTGAAAGTACCACATTTATCTACTCCTATATAATCACTTATTTACTATTCATCAACCTAGTTTCTATTTTTCGACATCTACTAAAACTTACTGACTTAAACCTTACGATAAATTTTGTTACACATTGTATACAATATGTTTACTTGACCTAGTTAATAGTTTAAAATATTATTAATGTGTATGTGCATGACACAAAAGTATAGATATTTTTTGTCCTATTCCCGTTAACCATCCTGTATATAAGACATCTCTTTTTTAAATTCCAACTTGCCCTTTACCATCACATGAGACATAAGATTCAATTTGTATTACTTGCCATTACCTATAGTTATTGATTAATATTTGTAAAATTATCTAATTTTGCGTGTAATATATTGATTATTCGTATTGTCAATTATGCATGTGTATTGTTTGGTATCGATTTCGGAGTACAGCACATTTAAAACGTTAATTATTTTTTATACTTTTCAACACATACGTTTAAATTTGTTTCATTGTTGTTATTAATTTTTATTTTTTTTTTTAAGCGGTGTTTACAAATAGTTTTGTGAATATAATAACAAAACTTTATAGGAATATAATATATGTATAAACATAACGTTGTGTTTGATATATAAAATTATTTTAATTAACACTGTTTTATGAAATGTTTCAACCGTAGTCACCATTCGGGTTAAACGTCGGAATTACTGTAAAACCACGCGTGTAGGTCCACGTGATTATTTAAAAATCCACGTGGATTAATATTTGATTGGGAACAAAGGGACACACACACACAAATATTATAATTAACGCATTACAGTGCATAGAAACGTTGATTAAAATATATCCTACGCGAGCGATGAGCAACTATACGGCAGCGTTTGTGTACACAATAATACAATTAAATACAAAAATATTATATAATTTATATTATTATCATATTAATACGATATTATTACTTAATATATTCATGTCGTGTTCGTTGGTAACTTGCCTTATTCTTTGTGGCGATTGTGTATAAATAATACAACAATCACTATAGTGGTTATAATTGAATAAAATAATATATAACACAATATTAATTCTAAACCCTGTACCTCTATTATAGTAATTATAATCTTCATTGTTAATATTTCTCGATATTCTCCGTCCGGTACAGCTGCAGAATTGAATGTTGTAACGAAAAGCGGCCACTGTCCAAAACTTATTTTCTTTTTTTCTTTTTCTTTTTTATTGCAGTAGTTTTTCCATTTATTGTAAGTTGTATAAGTATGGAAATAACATAAATCCGAAAACCTAAATACAGACATTTCGCCTGCATTCGACGGGTACCTACATCGATTATTTCACTATAAAGTATAATATTGTGGAAAACTCACTCACAGCGGACACGAAGTTGTCCATTTCCATCGAGACTATAATATGAATCACATTATACGCATGGTGGCGGTGGTCCACTTAACTGTAGCTCACACAATCATATTGTATTCCTTTAATGCCCGGTGAATCCATTCAAATCCTGATTTTTTGAAATTCTTCAAGTATGTAGCTACTTATTATGACTAGATTTTCAAGTTCAAAGATTATGCGTAAGATTTAAGGAGCGTTACGTGGGGTGTAACATTTTCTCAGATTCTGATCCGTGGAGCGACGAATTTATTGACTTTACAATGAAGTGTGTTTTTTCTTTTCTTTCAACTTTAGGGGAAATGATGAAAATAATGCTTTGATTTTCAACATCGTGGTGGTTTCCGTTACCAAGTTGTAAATTTTCGTTGTTATAAAAAAAAAAAAACAGTTTTCGCTCATCGCTAAATCGTTTTTAAAATAATGAGATTTACTATCGAATTTAAATTCAACATAAAGTTATATATTACAGTGACTTTATAATGAAGAGAGGTTTCCATTTTTATTTTTACTTTTTTTTTTTTAATGAGAACCATAATTTTCCGTGTAAATTGTAGTTAAACAGATGAGTTTATTAAAAATACATTATTCAATATTGCATCAAAATTTGAAAGAGTGGTTTTGAGTCACAATAACATTGAGCATCGATAATATTATAAGTCTACCATAATAATATGGTATAGTCCACCTAACGGAGAACGCCCCCCTCTCTGTTATTAATTATTATTCGATCGAGTACCTTCGTCCTAAATTGTATGGTCATAATTTAATGTGGTCGAGCCTATATTATTATCGCCGCAAACCTTTTTGTGAAGCTGTTTTATATTTTCACTTAGCAGTTACTCTTATACTCTGCAGTACGTATTCGTCTAAACTGTTATGAAAATTAAAACGCTTCTGATAGCCAATCACGATATTGTTAATTATTTATTTTACATTTAATTTCATCCGGACAATACGAGAAGCGAATAAAGAGGGACCCTGTGCAGTCATCGTTGACACTATTAATTTCTCGCGATATTTAGCGAGTTTCTCGTCTTCCGAATCTCATCCGATATGTAGCTAGGTACCAACGCGTGTTATGTGTTTATAACATAACATTATGTGTTTATTTTTTGCCCATATTATTATTTAGGTACTGTCGTCGTGCAGTGCATGCGACAGATGTTGAAAATCACAAATGTCCGCGCAAGGGATCCGACAGACGATGTACCGGCAATGACTCGGCCGGAAGTATAAATAATAATCGAAAATATATACGCGTAGGTTTGAAGCGCGCGCGTGCCGATGTGGGTGCGGGGTGGGCTGCAAGAGAAAAACTTTTCGTACCCAACGACTACTATCCACCCTCACGCCGCGGGTGCTCCATCATGCCTTTGTATTGATTTTTTTATTTTACACTTTTACAACGATATTTTTTTAATATACCTGCAGCAGCACGCATATAGTAATAACTCGCGGCCAAATTACGAACGTCTGATGATCGACAAAAACCTATAGACATTGCAATCATCGTAGCACGGTCGCATCGAACATTACGGTTTGTGTCTTGCGTTCGTCGACCAAAATATATTTTATGTTTTCACTATAATATTACACAAGATAACGTTGGTACATCATCATAACGCTATTATGACGACACGCGTTGTTATGCCGTATAGGAAAAATTAGTGGGCGGGGGAGGAGGGGGCTGAGCCCCGAGTTTATTATAATCGTAATATTTTAGTTTCTTTATTTATATCTTTTTCTTTTTTTCGTGGATTTCTACCCAACACCCTATAAATCTATCCAACAACAACTATACGCGCGTTACACGGTGCGATAAAATAATAATAATCATATAGGCAATATTATATATATATATATACATATAGGTGCGAGTGCCGGACTATGTGCTGAAAGTTAATATCCACATAAAATATGGTTTTGTCGACACGCGCGTCTTACGCCATATATATATAATATATTACATGTTTACTATCAACGGACCGCAATAATCCAGCCAAAGTTATATTAGACGCGTTACCTATGTTTAATATTTTACTACATAATACAGGTATGCAATACACGCGCGTATGTGTGTGTGTGTGTGTAAACCGCGAATAATGCGCGTATATCCGATTTTATCGTAAAGGCGTTCAATATTGTGCTCATATATAAATACTATACTATGTGACCATATTATGCAATAATAACTACAATACTCGTATGATTGGAATACTACAACATGTATCGATTCAATAATTTGAAAATATTATAATAAATCACCTATATTATATCCCGTTTGCAGAATATTTATGTAATATAGACGGCTTTAATAATACTTTAAAGTTTAAATACAACGACGTTCTGATTCTAACGCGTTCACGTGTTAAATAATTATAATTATACTTAACATACAGCTAAATTTAAATAAAAAAAAAAACATAGCACGCAATTCTAAACTTGTCCACTACAAGAAAAATCTATGAGCCATAAATATGATTTTACGAAAATCAACGTAAATCTTACAAAAAATCGGTCTGAAACAAAAAAACGAGTATCCATCTCAAAAAAATATATTCCTGTTTAAAAAAAAGTGTCATGTTTATTATTAAAATATAATAACAATTTTTCCGATAGATGTTGGGATATATTTTTTATAACAATAATATATATTATTGTTTTTTTATATTAAATTTATTATTGAATTTACATTTCCATCAATATAGTGTAAATATGAATGGTTAATTCCCGTGCAATAATATAATACACAACATATTAAATTATATTAGGTATGTTGTTATTATTTAATAAGAAGGATAACTAGATATATTGAAGAATACGCGCGATTTTTCTCATAGAGAATATTGAAGAGATATTATTTACTATACGTAAACAAGTAATATTACTTGTTTACTAAAATATTTTAGTACGATAAGACATTCAATAAAAAAAACCCAAATACTGAAACAAGCATATTTTTAAAAATTACCTTGATATAGTTTTACAATGTAAATATATCTCTGTATCTATTTGAACAATTGTATTTACCGAGAAGTTGGTTTAGTAACATTTACTAAAAAAATTGCGAAGCATCGAAAACACATTGAATATAAAATTTAATAACAAAATTTGTTTAGTGATGCCTAAACATAATACCACATACTTTACACACAATCAAAATATGTTGTCATTCTAGGTGCCTATTTATAAATAGTAATATTTCATTACAGTTTATTGTAGATCGATATCGGCAAGTCATATTTTGAGATAAGTTTTGACATTATCAAATTAAAATAAAGTGTATTAATATGATCTGATCAGTGATCAGTACAGATCACAAAGAAAAAAATCCATTAATATTCATGATGATTAATACCTACACAAAAAAAAAACCTATAGCAACTTTTTTAGAAGTTGTTGTTGTATGTATAAACAGCTAATATTCAACAATTTCGACAAAATTTTTCCATAAACTCTTAAATAATATACACAATGATAATATTATAAATTATAATAAAAATAAACATGTCATTATTTATTAGTAATCAATAGTTTTATAAGTTTTGTCTCCCCCGTGGGTAATGTGTAATCTACTATAGTATATTATAAATTTATCATTTAGTATAAAACAACATACAAAATAATATTAACGTTAATGGCCAATAAATGTTTAAGTAAATATATAATAATATATAATATTTTTTCGTTACACATGTCGGTAGCACAGCAGTGAGACTGATATTTTATTAGTCGGTACACTGCATAAATTATAGACTATTAATATTCCATTTCGAGTTTCTTTGGAACGCTTCGGACTTGTCTCTGCAACACAAAATCTAAATTATTTAACGAGTTCTTTTTTATATACCGTCAGACACACGTGATGGCATCACACATAGATGAAGCCCACTGGGATTTACCGAAATTTTTTTGAGTATTTCGATCATCATATTGGCAACGTCTCTTGTGAATCTGTCCACGTCCCATTTCACATTTTCAGTATCCGCTTTCTCGTAAATCTCGCCCCCGTTGAGCACCAAGTGCTTGTAAGCGGTCATGAATTGTTTTCTAAACGAATCCAAAGTGAGCGTGTCGGGAAGATTCCAATTGTTCCGTGACAGCGTGTCAATTGCTATATACCAGCTAGAGACGGCTTTTTTCACCGTTTCACTCACGTCAGGTCTGTCTTGTAACTATATATAAATATGTATTGTTTTAAATATTTTATATGCGCAAATGTAACGGCGTATCATAACAGCTGTGAACTTGCAGATATTTTATTAAGGAGGGTTAATTAACTATTAATAGGTAAGTTAATAATAATTATAGTTATGATTGAATTCGTTCCACCCATTCTCCCGTCCCCTTTTAAATATGTACACACAAAGAGAGGAAATGTATTTTAATATAATAGTGTTCTTGCTACAGGGAAAATAATAAGGAAATATGTTATGTGCGAGTCGTTTTTGAAGTGCCCATAATAATATTCGAATTGTTGTGAATCTTATATACCTACATGAATTTCGTGCGATTACACGGTAGAAAACACAAAGTTTTTTCCAAAAAGAGTGTAGAACTGAATTTGACTTGTATAATATAGTTTTGAAAAACGTGCGCACCCGGCGCACTGCTGGAGTTTCGTCGTGACGTCGTGTCAAACGAACAATAAATTTGATATCGACTAGAACGCACATCGTAACCACCCGGCTACTGCCGTTCTAATAATATTATTATACTACTATTATTATTATTATAAAATATAAACGGAAAATTAATATATTATTCGCTTAATGCGGGATTGCGGTGAGCGGTTGACAAAACTGCAGTTCAGAAGTCGACCCTCAGACATGACGTAAAAAACAAGCAAGTATATATCTATAAATAATAACGTTTCACGCATATTATAAGTCCTACCCATGCCTATATCTAACCAACGTGCGTCGCCGTCGTTTCCATCGCCATCGCGAAAAATAAAATATAAACACTGTCTGTTCAAAGTTTTCCACCGGATAACGCGCCAGTGGTTCTACGACGTAAAACTATATAACATTATAATATGGAACACATCTGTGTGCGTTTAAAAGTCTCGCAAACGAGTGATTAATTCTTTAGGCCGGTGTCCGCGACACGCAACGCTCATACCACCATGGGATATTATATTATGTGCGCATACAGCGGCGCGAAACTTAAACATTTCGCAGCCGACGTTAAGTCGTTTCGGCTGCTGCTAAAGCTGCAATGGTCGTGAAACAACGGGTGCACTACCTCCTTCTTCCCAGTCGTAACGTTTGATAGGTATACTTGGTATATTTGGGTAGGTATATATCGTTTTATTTCCCCCCTAAACCCTAGCTTTTTTTCTATTTCATTAAGTGCCCATAATTCCAACACAATAATATATTATATTATTGTTTATTGTGTAGGCGATATAATATAATATTATATTGAACTATAAGCACTGATTTTTTCAGTCAATTTTTGTGATTTAAAAAAAACGCTGTTTTTTATGTCATAGCTATAAACAGCTAAGTACATATAATATACACTTGGGGTATACTCCTATAATGGGTATACTGCGCTAAGAGCTGTGTTCCACCACTCTGCTCGCCTAATTTTAAATACCTATTTGTCTATAAAAAAAAGGCATTTGTTCAATATTCGATATTTATACATCAAATACATTTATATATATATATATATAAATAATCTGTTCAAGGAGCATGAAGAATATTATTTATACAGTGTTTTTATTTACAAAAACGTAAATCGTATGAATTTACGCGCGTGGATGAATGGCCATTTGCAATACTCCCATAAAAAATATAATGCTTTATTTTTATATAGATACTTCTTATATTATAAGTCACATGTTTGTTTCAGTCAGCGCGTTATCATCGAGGGACAATTAAAATATTTTTATTCATAAAACCTTTTTAGTTTTTAGCAAAATTAAAATAAAAATAAATAAATATTATGACATGAAATGGAACCTATGAACAAACTCCGTGGTTAACTATAACATAGTTATAACAATATATGATACATATAATACATATTTCCATCCCGAGTACGGTATGAATTTTGATTTTTCTCACAAATTCTTTGAAAATTAATCGGGATTCCACCGAAACTTTGTCAAGTTTCACGTTTGACAATTGGTCCATAAACAAACAACTATCTCTTATAGTATAATAATATTAAACTATATACGGTATACGACGTACTCGGAAGGAGGTTAATAAATCCAGAAATCTGGTACTAAATACTATTAGCTCATTTCGGTTTATATGATATAATTATAATATTGTTATTATTATTATTATTATTATATCAAGTTTTCGGTTTGGAATCTGACATATTTTCCACATAGTTTGATGTGAATTTTCGATTGATTCACGCACAACAGGTAAAATATATTATTATACATAGAATTACAAATTAATAGGAAGTTCGTAACGCAAAATAAGGTCACCCCCAAGAAATTTAAAATATAGATATATACCTGTAAATCTATGTTAATTAAAACCTGATGTTTTTAATTTTATATAACACCAATAAACGCTGCAATGTGTAACAGACAAGATTTGTATTCAATAACATATTACAGAAGACGTTAATCATAATATGACTACTACATAGGCGTGTTTTCGATTCACGACTGTATATTCCCATTTCATCTACCCCCCTCCCCCCAGTGTTGATAATATAATATTCTTCGCCATTTCGTGTGACCGCTTGGTTCTATTCTTCATTCGGTGATCGCATGATGGAGGTAACGTCAAACGATATGATGAAAATCGAATTATTGCACGGTATTGGCGGCGGCGGCAACCACGTGTTACAGCTTCCGGATTACCACCACTACGAACGTTGAGGCTTTTATTTTGAATGGTTTTTTTTTTGTTTTGAAACCTTAAACCAGTACCATAATCTCTCTCTCTATATATATATATTTTATTTTATTATTCGAGTACTCGATTTCAGGAATGAGACGCATTGGCGGCGCGAGATAGTGTGAAAGGATTGTAAGCGCGGTAATCGGGTATTATATATAATATACAGCAAGTCCACAAGTCTCCATAGTGTATATACATATATATATATATATACGAATGTATGTATTGGATGTGATATACTTACGGACTTAGCCCAAGCGGCCAACTCGATCTTGAACCTCACGCAATAATTGAGAAATCCGTTTTCAGCGATAATGCCCAGGAGTGCGTCGGACGAACGGACATCGCCGAATTCGGTCCAAGCGGACGTGATGTAGACGACAGCCACCTCGTAATCGGAAGCCCACTCAAACGGAACTTCGTTTGTCTATATATATACAACGCTTAGGGATTACAGTTATATAGCTTATCGTTTTCCCGACATATGTGTTGTATTATATATATATATATAATTAAATTGCACTTATTTACACTGAAAAAGCGCTTGAGAAATCAAAAGTAAAAATGTTACATCGCCAATACTGCAGACTTTCACATTTTATACATATAGGTACCGTGTTAGGCGTGCGCAGGCTTTGATCGCAGACACAGGATATAAAGTTGCTCATTTTTAACAATGGGTTTTGAATAGCGGAAATTATTAATAATTTTATAATACACATTTGGTAATATTTATTTTTACAGTAGCTATAATAATATAATTAGTTTTGACTCCATTTTATATATGAAGTATAACATTTAACAGGTTCAGATTTATTTTATTTATACTCATAATGAATACTACATTTCTTTTGACTTTGACAAAGCCCTAACCTACTTACATGGTGTCCCGAGAGGATAATATACCACACATCCATTAGCTGTAGTGGGGGACTCACCACCTGGATAGAAACCAGTTTTTTGGCGTTTTATCTATAAATTAAAAATTATATTAAGAATTGTGAGATTAATGACAATAAAATGTTGAAAGGTCAAAATTATCAGAAAAATAAACTGTATAAAATAGGTATTTTTATTTTTTATCTTTAATATTTTTTTACTTATTTTTATCAAAAAAAAGTAATAAAACTAAAAAATAAAATACATGTAGCCCTTGTCTACGTGAATTTGGTAAAACAAAAAAAAAACAGATTTATGATATATTTATTATTATCTAAAGAGATATCGCAATAATGCTTAAATCCTCGCGGGACACCTGTATAATAATAAGACTTGCTCTGCTGCAGTTAAAAACCAACCACTCCAAAAATGTTCCAGATGCAGCATACGAGAATTTTTGGTAACACCTATGCACACGCCTATGAAAGGTGCCTGTATATACACATATCTGCAGTGGTGGCTAATAATATACGTACGATAGAATGTATAGTAATAAATATTTTCGTGTGCTTGCATAGCGTATTATTATTATTATTATTTTAGTTTTCATCGCAGACGTCTCCATGTAATCAAAATTACTTACCGAGGACATAGTGTCGCCGACCAACGACGACGCCGAAGGTTTTAAACTTCCGATGAGATTCGCGTGACCGGCAGACTGGAAAACCGAGAATACATATTAAGTGTGCGATAATGTGTCTGCAAAAAAATCGATTTAACCACACGCACATCGTTCTTCCATTATATAATAATGTGTATAGCCACGAGCGCGTAATTTCAGTATTCGTAACGTTATGAATTTTAATATCACAAAATTTAAAAGATATAATATTATAGCGCACAATTATTCATAATAATATGGGCTGCACAACAAATAAATTATATTCGGATTTATTTATTCCCTATAATATACAAATTAAAATCAATCGTTAAACAAACGGTTAGGTTCTACAAAACGGTATATTGTAATGATTAAATTCTTATGTTATATTGCGCTGCAGGATATTAAATAATTGCTTTGATAGTTAAATTATCACATCTGAAGGATGTTTTCGATGCTGTGATTTTAATAATTAAAATATGAACAAATTTAGTTAATGCTGGATTGGACAAATGTGCCATACTGAGGGTGATGATTTTAATAATTAAAATACAAACTATTTATTATTGATGCACCGTTTACAACTCAAGAGGGATTGTAGAAAACTTCGGTAGGTTTCGGTAGTCAGGTACTTAAAATAATAATAATATGATGTATAGGTAATTAACTAATGATCACGAGTGTATAGAATATCAGGTATATGACCTATCTTCGTCCACTAACCGCCTAAAAAACCATCGGTTACGATAGGTAGCATCTATAATGTGTATTGACTATTGATTTAATGGAGGATACTCGCCTGCCTTGCAGACAATACCTGTGCAACGTTAGATAAAGACGTGATGTCGTGTAAAATCAACGCAGCAGATTGCGCGCATAATACGTTTTTAATTACAGTCATGCAAATTATTAATTCAACTATACAACCCTTCCGAATCCACGGTATGGCATAAGTTATGCGCGAGTAACGAACCAACAAAAGCCTAAAAAAATAATCTGAATAACAGCAGTATTATAATACATCGTCGTGTTAAAGCGACAGAAGAAAAGTCACGGGCTACACATGTCGTATATTCCCCGCGCATACGTTTCACGTAAATTAAATCATAATATAATATTTCAGTACAATTCATTTGAATGAAAATCTTTTGTCGCACTCTCGGGAAGGGTTTTTGTGACGAAGAATTTCGTCAACATCCGCGGCGATGATATATTGTTCGACGTCCGACCAACACATCTATATTGGATCGAGACGAATTTCCCCAACAAAATATTAAATGTTTGTGTAAGTAATAAGTATGGAAACAACTTTAGTGCCGTCGCGCGTCGAGTCATAAAATTTACCGCCCGGAAACAAATTTATGGTTTAGTCATTTATAGTTCTATGAGTCAATTAAAGTTATTATAATATAATTATCGAACATCGAACAAATTTCAGCGTCAATTATAATTAATTGTTATTCTTGGAAATGCGAATTTATATTATATTTTACTTATACTGAACTATTATAGGCCTTCAACTATATATAATTAAACACAAAGAAAAATCGATTTGAAATAATTATATCAATATTGTGCATTAAGTAAACAAAAAATAGAATTTGTATAAAACAAACTGAAATCAACACCTCAACAATGCTACCGCCATTGCTAATTATTTCACCCCTTGCTTAATAAGGCAATAACGACAGAGAAAAACTCAACTGACACCGTTCACGTGACAACTCAACGTTATATTATTATTATTTATAATTGTATATTCTGCTGAGGCGTTGATGGTATAAAAAAAAGTTTAAAATTACCTTTGAAAAAATATTGGAAGTTTTTGCATTTACGCGTGGCCGCAACCCTTTGAAAATGTATGAACAGGTGTGTTCCAGTAAATATAATTTCGTCAGCAGAGAGGACGGGGAAAAAGCCATTTCGCTTGCCTCGAATTTTCTACACTTAATATTAGTATAACCGAGCGTAGATACGGATTTTTTTTTTTTGAAATATCACGCCCGAAAAATTATGCAAATTGTATAAAGCGATTTTTTTTCACTTAATAATAATATTGTACTCATAAATAAAAATGAAATACATGCATTTTTCGCGTATAAATAATATTATTTCGGTTTGATTTTTTATTATTACCAGAAAACCCTGCAATAATCGAATACAATTAATTTACCGAACTTGTGTCTGGCATTCTCAAACCGATCAAGACAATATTAATGTTACGTCTTCCGACCATAAAACAATATAATTGTTATATCATCAAACTCGACCGCCGTGTTAGACATAATAGTATTATATTATTATGCACTTACGTCTCACACACATCTAATTGCAATAAGTCCACATTTGTTATGCTAATTATTACGTTAATACACAACTATTCTACCTAACAAGTTCATGTCACTTACACAACAAACACACACATAGAGAGGACTTAATTGTATTAATTTAACCACGGTGTTGGTCCTAACCATCATAATTGTTTTGCTTAATATAATACTGTTCGTAAATTAACAAATAATTATTCTACCGACTATACTCGGCCAAAGTTGTAGTCTAACCTTCTATATACGTAATATAAGACATTTATATGTATAATGTTCTACGATGGTGGTAATATTATACTAAGATTTGGGCGTACAATATATTAATATATTATTTAATATTATCGTCGTGCACATCGCGTTTTGTCAACGGACCGACCTTGAACGTTTTACGCTAAACGTATATATTAGGGTATTATATACATAATATTATGGCTTTTCCTAAAATTTAATACCGCCGAGATATACATCACGGCCCCGAGAATGATTGTACATTCGTTGAACTGTTTACGATCTCGTAGAAGTTCACATTTTTCGAGCGCGTATAGAGACAGTATAATATATAATAACGATATTATGTATTATTATCATTGTTATTTATTCATACTACGATTCATGCATTCGACACGCAATCAAAACCACCGATACGTTGGTGTACGATGAAAAGAAGTGAAGAAAATATAATATTCTATTCCGGCTACGCGGTCGATATAATAATGCGTCTATCAATTATGTTTACCATCAAACACATTTTTAGCACGAAATTGTTGGGATCTGAGTTTATGTTTGTACCACCGCACATGCAAGTATAATAATATATATGATATATACCGTAATATTGCAGACCGTGCTTGGTTTTTTTTCGTTTTACCGAAAATCGAGTTGAATGGTATTTTTTATTATTTTTTTCGAAAGGAAGMAGACAAAACGATTATCCAAACGACAATTTATTTGTAATAGTGTTTGGTGAAGGTGGGTGGCGCGGTGGTTGGAGAAATTGACCAATCGGTACCAATAAAAAGTTTTGAAACTATTATACCCTCGTACGCGCCGGATATTTCCAGTTCAATATAATACAATTTTTTGAGCAAACTATATGGACAAGTCGCAAAAGCCCAATCGAAATCAACCTTAACGGTTAAACACGTATAGGTAGCAATAATGTATATTTTTAAATTAAAAACAAACCCATATATGATGTACATAGATAATAGTATTTTATACCGGTCCCATTATTATATTTTGTTAATAGATTATAAATAATTCTATTATATACATAATTATTATTACTGTCAAAAGTGCTGTTATAATAAACAAATTATAAAAATTAAATGGAGTTATTATAATTTATCGAAAATAAGTGTATTCTAAAAGCTCGAAACCATCTTAATAAAGTATATAAATTATTTCTTTGTTATTTCTTTGTATTTCTATGATGAAAGCTAGCTTAAAAATCTATTCACAGAATTGTATGCCTTGCAGTTATTGACTTCGCTACAATATATAATCAGTAATTTATATTTAATTTTAAATTCCATCATACTTTATCCGAGAAAGATTTTTTTAAACAACGCCTATGTTCCAGTTATATACAACTCAGCAAGGTAGTTTTTTATTTTAACATTATATGATATTATATATACTGTTTTCTGTTAAATCTATATTTTTTTTGTGTATAATTGATTAGTTTTTAAGGCATAAGACGATTTTCTATAGCGATAATATTATTAAACTATTACCAGTATTACCTACTTATAAGTTATTATATAATCATTTAATATTTTAATGTATTTATAGTTGAATATTTTGTTTACGAATAATATGATAATTATACTTGACTAATTATTAGAAATAATGTTAATCTTTTATTTTTAATTTGTCGATACTTATTCCAAGTAAAATAATAATGTATTATTTTAATTATGATTTCTTTTTACGTATTACGCAATTTACGATAAGGACTTGGTTTATTGATATTCAACTATTCATACAGGTATATCGATAATGGCTACGTAAATGAAATATTTGTATAATTTTAATCTCAATAATTCAATGATTAAAAAAACAATCATAACTTTTCTAACAAAGCGATTATGTTCATTTTTTTTTTATAATTTTAATTCTTCCTAGCTTAATATAGTCGGCTGTTTGGATTGAATGAAATATTTCGTAACATAAAACAAATGAAGCAATGATATATTTTTGTCAATTTAATTAATTCAAGTTTTAATGTGCAGCAATAAAATAATATGATAAAGAAAACCAGAAAACCAACGTTGTTTGCACGCAAATTAAATTATACATTTTACTGGCTGGTATATATTATATACATAAACCGCCAACTGCGTAATACCGTTGGGAATTGGGTATATTAATAAAAGTAGTATAACTCTATCAACTATTTGGACCTATACGTTATTCTTGTAATTAAATCATAGACTTAAATGTATATGTAACGGTTTTCGTTACCAAACTACCAGCGTTAAGATTATTTTATGTATGGTCAAGATTATTATTGGTAAATTATTGTAAAATGAAAAATTTGTTATTGAAATTTAAAATAGAAACTGTCAATACGAAAATTACGTTTATGTATTTTTCCTGAAATGTTGAATTCCATACTCTACAATCACTTGAATTGAAAAGGGAGATAAGATCAGATTATTCAATACAAACTTTAAATTATTTTAATTAATGAGCCGTTTGTAAATTAAATGTATACATATTCCAATATTGCCAGTCAAAAAATAATCTCTTTTTTTGAACTACCGTTTGAGAAATGTAAGTAATATTTTAATAAATACGAAAGAAAAATCCAAAAATCTCTCCTAACTAAAAAAAAAGTGACGTAGGTATTTAATAAAATAAAAACTGCCATAGTGCCACATTTACATTCCTATGCTTCATGTATTTGCCATTGAATATAATAAAAATTTGATTTTGTGTATTAATTGAAATAATAATAAACAGAATAAAAATTACAGCGCATAAACGTAACCGTTAGTCGTAACAATGGAATTGAATTATTAATGCATCTATGAAATCGAGAAAAATCATCAAGAAASAATAAGTAATAATATATGTTATTAATATAATATTATAATATAATATAATTTGTATTGGATGCGTTACATCGTTGACCTTTCAACCATACGGTAGATTGATACTCAAGATGCCTGCCGTTGAAAACGACACAATTAAAAGGAGATCGCGATAAAGAAAATTCATAAATAAATTTAAAAAAAAAAATAATGAAGACAACTTTAACAAACAGATGATAACAACAAAAATCGGTATACTGTAAATTGACACACGCTCGTGGTTATTAAAATATAATGTATCAAAATTATTGAGCTAAGTGAAAAAAAAAAAACGCTTACTTGCAGCGGTTTAGCACCGGTCGACAGTGCGACGACGGCGAAAAACCATAACACCAAACCACCTCCTCCTTTTAACCTTTGAATCGGCATGTTGCGGTTAGAAGACGACCGTAAACTTATTATTGTTATTGTAGTCGTTAACAATTTTTAGCAGGCGTATGATATTTTATTGTATTATATTATTATTAAAATTGTGTTATATTAAAATGTATATCGAGTCGACGTAATGTCGATTGTGAGAGACGCAAATGGCGTTTTGTGGAAAGTCACACTGCAGCTCAGCAGTGGTACTAATAGCAACGGGAGTTGGATAATAATATGATAATATAATAACAGTATTATCATTGAGTCGGACGTGAAATGAGATAATACAATAACAAAAAAAAACAAAAAAAATTATAAGCGGAAAAATATGTTTCTCATTTGTATTACACATCACTACAACATTAAACTAAATGTTTTTTAAGCCACTCATCCTATTTTTATGTATAAATTATATTCATAATGTGTTATTTTTAAAATTTGTAAAATTTCCAAAAATATACTCAAACGGCATATCATGAATTAAAAAAAAAATAAAGGACTATAATAAACATTAAATCTAATATTAAATTAAGGTAGTTCATATTTTTGTGAAATTAATTCAAGAATAATAACCTTATTAAATATAAACATCTTAAGAACTAAGAAACTACCCATTAGAGTTTTGAAAAGACACAACATTTTTAAGAAAATCAACCTTTGAATAATTCGCCATAAAAAGGAAGACGGATACACATTTGAAAATTGGAGTTTGTATCACTCTGTAAGTAGGCAGTAAAAAAAATATCAGAAATATGAAAATCTGTATTTTATATAGGTAAATGCCATACTTAAAAATTCTAAAAATCATAATTTGAATAAAACATGTCCTATGAGGGAAAAGAATTGGGGCCATACGATGATTAAAAAATCACCCTGTATATAAATTTGTATATATGCACTGTGCAGGTAGGTTCCATCAACAGCTTTATGTTCGTAATCTCTCACAATGAAGTTGTGCGTACGTTGGTATATACCTGGTATTATATTATGTATTATTGTTTTACCGTTGTGGCCTGCCAGTCGGTACGGCAGTGGGTCGCAAAGTGTTGGAACCCAATTATGATCCCCGAGGTCAGTGACAACGATATATATATATATATATATATATATACAATATACACTGTGTACTGCTGCTACTATGATCGCAATGGTAATAATAGTAATGATAACAGTTAAGTTAAATACGTATTATTACGGTCGTCGACGTCGCAGGAGTGCGTTATGGGCGTACATAAATGTAAAAGTCACTCGCCTAGCGCAGCCGTTTTCGGGGCCCATAAGGTTTTACGATGAAAATTTCCAAAACGTTATGAATCCACTAAGCGCGACCTCCCGCAGTACTTCGCCCGACACGGCGACTAATAATCGCTTTTCCCGCTTCCGCCCAACCGCGGATCGTGCGTTCCCTTTTTTCCTTCCAAAGTTTGAAATTTACTTTTTTTTTCTAATATGCGCGTGCTTTAATTGTATTATTGTTATACAACGACGACGTGTACAGTAAAATTGTAGTGATAATACTATGCTGCTGCTATACGTTATGGTTAATTGTATTTATTACCGAGTGACTATTACATSCACATGATATAAATATAATATGATGATAATAATAAATTAACTACCGTAGAATAACATTTTTATCGTCTTCTTGACGATGTCCGAACTGAGGTGAAAAAAATAATAATCGCTTACCATAAAAAGTAGCTAGTTAAATTGCAATGTGCAATACATAGTTTATAGGTCGTATACCACACTAATATTTTAATATGATAGCCACAAACCGTGTGATGACTGATGCTCTTTGTAAAAAACCGGCTTTGAAGTGAAAAAACAAATATTATTCCCCCCTCCCTCACACACACACACACACACATACTGTAGCAAACCATCGTTCTCCCATGGGTAACGTTATGTATTTGGTACTATAATTCAATTATTACGAGCAGTGTATAAAGATCTAGTGCTGAAAAATCAATTTTTGCGAAATCCTGGTGAACATGGAACATTGCGTATTGAGACACGCGTATTACACAAGATACGAGAGAACATAACGTTGAAATACCGCGATAAAACTTAACTTATATCGACGAAAACTTAAACAGGTAAACGTAGGAAGGGTCATATGAGACGTGGCGATAGTAATGTCTGTAAACTAAGATTCAAGACCAGTCCCGTAAAAGTTGTTATTATAATATTTTCGGGGAGCTTCACATATTTTTTACTATCGATAATAGTAATTTTGTTTTTCCTAAACGTGTTTTCTAAGACAACCACAATAATATGTATTATAATTTCTATAATTAAGTTCCTGGTAAATTCTAAAGAGATAATATACTTTGGATGGCATAATAATATTAAACTTATGTGAAACATTGGTTATTAGGCCTCTCTCATATCCTACCAACCGTAAAATAAAATCCTGGCTACGCCACAGCCMACAAGTACTCTTCAAAAAGTGTAAAATTCTAGACTTAAATTAGCAAAAACGAATAGGTAATGATAATAATAATAATAATAATAATAATAATATGATATTTTAATATTTATAAGTAAAAATAATAGGTTTACGATGTATCAAATTTATCAAATTGCTAGTATTCTAAATACCTGCCTACTTATCACGCTTTTTGTCAATAATATCGTCTTTCTTGACATGCTATACAACAAACAAAGACGGCATTATATTTAATATGCTTTGGCGCGTATTCGGTGACATTTAATTCACATGAAGAAAAGCAGGTATCTATATAATATTATAATAGTGGCGTGTGCTTTTGATATTCGATGAGTTTAATGTAAGACGAGAATAATTGAACGACAAAATGATATGTTTATTACCGAGAAAAAATTCACGGAATTGTTTACGAACATCGTTCGGATTACATAGTATTTAAACGTTAAAATGTTATAATAATATATACAATATGTAAACATTGTATACAGCATATATTATTAAATGATTATATTATATTCACGTATATCGACAATGAAATTCCGAAAATATCAGAGTTCAGGTTTACCAAAACTTTAGGACAATAAACCACTACAACTATAATAATAGCGAAGGGCCGCACAAATTTGCACGCACAGCATAATTTCAAGTCCCAGACAACATAATATTATATTATGAGCGTTACCGGGCAGAACTATGTGTTTTCTAGCAATTATGTAATATGGTGATAATATTATCAAGTACACGTCATAATGAATAACAATACAATTTCATGTTAAACATTATACGTGAAATATACGCGGTTTGATAACGACGATTCAAACAGATTTTTTTTTATAATAGGATTTTTGAAAATTATATGAGTTAAGTAGTGTCTATATATGGCTAGATTTTATTATAGTGAGGTTTCGTGGAAAGAAATAGAAACTATAGATAATTATTTTTGATGAAATTGAGTTATAAAAAAGCGGGTAAGTCGTGGATGTTGCTCTGCTGTACAGTAGGTTACAAGTGGGTTACTGTAATGGATGGAATTAAATTTGAATACAATGATATTATATCATTGTATACGAAAAACGATTSTGAGCGGAAACGGTTTATCTGTCTAGGATATATTATTAAAATTTTTCAAATCTTAGATTTAAAATGAAAATTTTTTTATGAATTTCTAGCTTAAAATAATTATCGAATTTTCGTGATTTTGACGTATTTTGTCAAAATTCAAATTTTGAATGCTTATAAAAAAAAATCATAGGTACCTATGTATTTTTAATACTTTTTAACTGCTATTGAAGCAATATGTTAGAAGCCTTATATTAAACTTTGAAGGTTTTTGACCCAACCAATACAATTTAATTGACTTTAATAGAAAAAAAAAATAATGATTGAAAACTGCATGTGCCTATAAATAGTTCAACTTAAGTCAACATTTTTTGAAAATTGCATGGTGGATAGAATATACTTATATAAACATTCGGTGACAATATTGAGAATTTTTTTACTTTTGACCCCTCCCCTAAAGTACCAACTATAGATTCACATTCTGATCGAATAAGGTACTGAAGTCAAAAATCGAAGCACCTCCAAAACGTGATGACACAAAAAAAAACACACACACATCATGGTAAAATCAATACATCATAAAATTAAATGTTTAATGCAATTGGAAAGCAGTTGTGGCTTGAGTTAACGAATCTTTTTTTCACAAATGTGACTGAATTTTATTATCTATATAATTTCATGTTGGATAATTTTTAAACTTTAAAAATAATTGGAATTTTTTTTTCTTTTGTGCATTAGGTACCTACAGTGTTTTGTAATGTTATCGACCACTGCCGCTATTATCAATTATCATTTAAATATAAAAAAAAGATAAAATCAAGATGTATGAAAGTTATATATCATTGGAACACGCAATATTGTAATTTGTAACATAGGTACGTAAGCGTGCGTGATCAAAAAAATATTTCGAAATTTAAAGGTTCTTTTCTGAATGTTACAATAAATTGATTTGATGTGCCTACAACAGATGATTTGTAATGTGCTAAAGCGTAAAAAAAAAAAATCAATTTTTTGCAATTATTCATAACTCTATTACGAGTACCGTATAATGGTTATTGAAGTCGTTGTTTGGTAATGATTGTAGCGACGGTCGACAGCTAGTCTATAGCGCACTCGACGTTTTATTATACATTTTCCGGATATCATAATATATGATATTATCACCATTACGACGTCGCACAACGACACGTCCGCGAAAACCCGAGAGAATCTTCAAAAAAAAAAAAAAAACATTCACTTTTTTTCCACTCTGCTTGTTCACGAATATAGTACGATATCCGACCGGCGGGGTACTATAAGAACTGCTACGACTTTTATCCACCCTCGTCCATATATACATTATTTACTCATCCTATCTCTCTCTATCTAACTTCCGGTACAGTGTTTCTCGGTCCTCGGAGGCTGCGACGGCGACGCAGACGACCGACTCCTATATTCGCACGTACGACGGAGGAATAATAATTTCGGTCGCCTTTATACCATTATATATATATTATTATATACATACACTGGGACTGCACAAAAGACACGCATTTATTACGCGCTTTCCCGCCGTCGTCCATTTATCACAAACACACACACACGCACAAGCTATAAATACGGTTAAGCCCGACCAGACGACCTCGCGGAGCCGGTCTGCGTCGAATGAAATCAGAACTTTTGCCGAAAATCCAAACGCGCAGCTTTAAATATTTAAAATAATAATAATAATTTATTAGGATTGCGATGTTACATTGTTTGCGACGCAAACACAATATTATAACAATCGAATACACGCATCAGGTGTTGTAGGAAGTGAGTCGTTCGGCGTGTTAACCTGCGGCGACGACCATGAAAGCCGATAAAAGTTTATAACAATAATAATAATATTATAATACATTACACTAGCTAATACCAGTTGCGTCGATGTTGTTCCTCCGTTGAAGTGAACGTCTTCTAAGGAGCTTCTGTACCCCTGTCACATAATGTCTGCGTGTCAATCTAAAATGTATGGTTGGTTTGAGGCATGTATACTTTGTGGACAATAACTGCGTAATAAAAACCGTACAGACATATTATATAGTACTAGAAAAACAATAAGTGCACGGAGAGTGTCAAAATGTAGAGGGCGCTTTTCGGTGACTGATTGACTCGCTATATTTTATGTATGGTAGTGCGGGGTAGCACGGTAAGATTTATATTATGTAGTTATAAAGATTACTGTATTTTGTCCGACAGCCTATACATCACTGCGAGATGTTTTGCCAATGCCCGCAATATACTATTGTTATGATATTATAAGGATTCACGGGACCGCAGTTTTCGGAGAAAAAAAAATCAGCGACGTGATTGGCTGAATTTTGTGGTTACTTGGCGGTCAACCATAATGGTTATAAGTAAATACTAAAATACCATGTCATATTGCAGATATCAAAAGGTAGAATCCAATCCCATTCGAGTCAAAATATGTTTACGAATGCGTGGTTACTCGTTTGGCTATAAAAATAATAATTATATTAAATAAAAATACGAACTGACGAGTGATGATTGTTTCATTCTGGTAACAAGAAACCAGTTACCCACCACTTACGATTATAATTATGTTCTCAACGTCACGACAAAAATGAAGATACTATATATAATTCCGAGTATAATCAGGGATAACTTTTTTCCCGGAAATCAAGGCGAACGGTTCGCAGAGGTAATAAAGTGTGAAGCAGCTTATACACAATATTGCTAATTTAGTAGGTAGCTATGATCGCTACGATCACAACAGCGTTATGAGTGGCTTAAATACATCTCGCAGTGATGCTGTCTTTGCGAAAAAAACACAGTGATGTAGCCAACAGTCTTGACGACGAAATACAAATGATCTGTATACTATCTACATAATATGTTTATGGTTACCAGATATTTCAAAAAAAAAAAAAAGTACAAAGCCTGTAAGTTTTACAATAATAACATATTATTATTATTATGTTATATATAAAATACAATAAAAAATATCAAACAACCTTTATTCATTTTGAAATATAACTGTCATAACATATCATAAATTTGTAATCTTACACTATTAATTAAAAAAATGTATCTATTTATTATTTGACTTGAATTGTATGACTTTTGTAAAAAAAAATAAAGAAATAAAGAAAACATTCAAAAATGTTTTTACATGCAATCTATTTATCCAGACATTTAGCTTACCTACCTACTAATATTAAGAAATATAATTGAATACACTTATTTAAAAACAACCAACTTATGAACAGAACAAAATATATCAATATTTTAAATATTTGTATGAACCATGTATTATTCTATTTCTAATTTCCATTTGAAAGTTAAACATCATTTAAAATAAGTACCTACTTTTTGGTGTATTTCAGCAATTTATTTAGGACAATAGGACATGTCTTCAAAAATAAGTACCGTCCTTATAATATAAGTAGGTACATCTGGTCACCATACATATATTATATGTATACCTACTACCACGCACTACCATAAGTGCGTATATTTATATATTTATGGTGACCAGAAGTACTTATTTTATAAGGACAGTACTGTTTTTTGGTAATATGTCCTAAATAAATGGTCGAAGTACACTTAAATGTACTTATTATTAATGATTTAATAATTGAAAATGAAAAAAAAATTATCTAAATTCAAATTTAAGGGATTATAAAAAATTCTGTTATCAAAAAAAAAAATGTTTAATAGGTACTGTGATATATAGTATTAATATTGTAATCACGGCTTTAGATACCATCTAATAATAACATAAATATAATAATAATAATCTATGTTCTAAAGTTGTTTTTTTATTAAGTATTTATCATTATAAATTTTGTTTTTCATGAAAATCACATGAGTTTAGTTATATAAAAACGTATATTTTATTTTTCACTGTCAGTAAAATTAAAAATACCTATGTGACGCAAATTTATGTTTAAAAATAAATAAACGAGTTTAAATCGATGTTATATTGTTAGGTATTTATAAATTATATTGATATATACATAATATATACACATAAATATATTAGCCTATATCATAATGTACCTACTGTTTTTTTTCTTTTTCAATATCTGGTCACCATACGTAAAGGCGGGTTTCCACTAAAGCCGTGTGTGTCGTGTACCTACACGTAAAATGTCCAACAACACGGCGACGCGGTCGATCGCGTGACAACCTTACCTAACCAACCAATCACAGCCAAGGATTTACGCGAACTAACCGCGGTATGGTTAAGGACTATCATCATGGTTTAAAACATGTCCGGTGCAGTGGGCATGTATAGAATGTAGCAAAATATCGTGTTAAAAGCCGAGGAGTTCGTGTGATGTCCACTGTATAATAGTCATTATTATGATTATCGCTCTATCAGCTGTACCGTGGCCATCGTCGGTGGACATCGAAGCCGTCGCGGTTTGTCCGGGGGACGTTTTTTTTCCGCAAGTTGCCAAAAAGCGGAAAGTCCAAAGAGCCGCGTTCGATGCGTGTCTATATATAGTGACCGTCAGTGATCGCCGGTGCAGCAATGGCGAGTATGCACGTTAAAACATTGACGATAGCTGCGTAGTATAATGGCGAAAGCGCATTAACACGCAGCGCGTTTTATTTATTTACCTTTTTCGACCGCGCGCGAGAGGAGTGTAATATTGCAATAATTGCGACAGTCGCGCGGTTTAAAACACACCCACGAGACCGATTATCGCATAGTAATAATAATAATAATAATTATGACAACGCGACTTCCTGCCCGGTTCTCCCCCGAGTTCCGATCTGCATACGACAATATTAAATTCACCACAAATTTCACGCTATTCGAAACAATTTTCGGTTAATTTAATATGTAATATTTTAACGTCACGTCATTAACGTACGTTTCTCCAGCACCCCCCCCCCTGGCAATTTTGAATTTTAAAAATATATTTAGCGTGTAACTAGCGTGACTGGTTTTGAAATTTGTTTGGTACCAGGTCAACCTCAAAAATGAAAACAAGGTCGGGGAGGGGGGCTGTAGAAACGCTATATATATTATATGCGTAGTTATTTTATACTTATCGTGCGTACAGCTGCAGCGACTTTCGATGACAATAGATTGTTTGTGTGCCATAATTATTGTAATACACTAAAATATATAATATAATACGATATACGTCACTTCCGCGATGGCGAGTATCGCTATCCATAATACATTAAAACTTCCTTAAAACGGACCACTAAATAACAGCAGTTCCGCTATATAACCTATATCCCGCACACTTTATTAGTGTCACTACAAGAGAAAAAAATCCTTTAAAAACCGAAAAATCAGTTGATACCGAGCAGTTCTGTTATAGGTAAGAAGGTTTTACTGCGTATTAGATAGGTATATGAAAGTCGATTGATACCTAATTTAATATGTTTAATTTATTTTACAGTCAATGTATATGTTCACGTATGATTTTCTCTCTCGATTAATTTTCAACAAAAATGAACAAAATACCTATTTATATAATAATAACAATGTTATATACTTATATATTGTAATACTACATATTGTTCTAATCGTGTATCGAGCTTAAAACTGATTTCAAATAGGAATATTGTTAATATTATAGTCATATAGAATTTTATTTTTCGATACAACAATAAAATACAATTTTTTAGATATACCTATAATATTTGCAATTTAACGAATACCACTTTATATGACAAATAAATTTAATATTATTCGACGCGCAGTTCATCAAGCCTTCAATGTAATATTCTATTTCCATTACGCATTCAAATATTTGTATGCTTTTGTACATTT